TCTCAAAGTTTTTTTTAAAAAAAAGTTCATATATTTAAACAATTTGTGTTTTCATGCAAATGCAAACCATCATTTATTACAAGTAAACATGACTAACATTCAAATTATCCAAAACATTAAGATATAAGGAAAAAATTGATGATAAGAAGACACTTCGCCGTATTAGTCGCTTTGTCAACATCCATTATCGTCGTGAAGATAATAAAGAAATGTGCGAAAAAGCTCTTCGTATTCTCCTAACACAGGAAGAACGAAACGAACTTTTGGCAGACCATGCTCCAGAAGAGCTCTTGAAAGACTATGAGAAAAAAAAACAGTTTCATGATGCTGGTGAATTTTTAGCCTCTCGCGGAAATTTTGAAGAAGCTGCCCTTATGTTTAGTCGCTCTGCTAATAATAAGGATATTATTGAGTCATTAAGGTGTATTTTATATCCATGCAGAATGAAAATACTTGAAAATATGAAATGGTTGAACTTGGATACTTCAGAGGAACTACGCAAATCACTTCATAAAGCAAATGACATAGTAAAATCAAAATCGAAGCCATTAAAAGGATCTAAAGAATTTGAGATCCTTGACGAAGAGATCAAACTATATTCAGCATATTTAGATAATGATCTAAATAGAATCTCTAAATGTGTACAGTTTTATCAAAAAAATAAAGCTACCGTTTCCGAGTTTCGTGCGATAAACTTATGGCTACAAACACCAAAATCAAAAATTCAAATCGAGTACTGGAATGAGAGATTGCAATATCTTTTAAGGATATGCGATTTAGCATTTCCCTTTATAGCCTCACGCAAAGACAATACCAACATTGAGAAAGTTCGTAAGGGTTTGGAGAACTTTTTCCTTATAAGTGAGGTTAGAGACCGCAAGTCGAAGCGAAAAATTCCATCTGATAGCCCCCTCCTTGATCTTATCAATGAAGCTCATCAAAGAAATAACGTAGGAAATTCAGCAGAAGCAATAAACGATCAGGATCAGCATGTATATGACATGAACGATGTGCATCAAGCAATTTCTCAA